CACGAGCGGGCGTTCCTGCGGGACGGGGTGCGGAGGGTCCCGGTGCGGGACGGGAGGATCCGGGCGACGCTTTTCCTGCCCCCCGGTGAGTACCGGCCGCGGCCGCCCTGTTTTCCCTAAACCAATGTTTTGTCAGTGCAAGCTGTTCCATGACCTCTGCAAAGAGCAGTCCATGAAAGCCCCTGTCCTTCCTTCCCTCCTTCCCTCCTGCTCTCCCTCCCACTCCACCATCCAGCCTGATCATCGTTCCCAATTCACCTGGCTGCGCGGGTGCCAGGACATGGTTGCAGAAGCAGGCAGAGGAATAACCCTTCTTGACCACAGCTTGAGATTTCAAATGTGGAGAAATGCACAGCAAGTGGAAGTGAGTGTGCCAGGAGAGCTGCTGGGGATGAGAAGCTGCAGAAGAGAGTGGTGGAGAGGGGCTTTGTGCCAGTCCTTCACAGTTCTGCTCACTGGGAAGGTTTGGTGGACCCTCCCTCTCCTCTCAGCACAGTAGCAACTAACTGTATGGTGACCACGGTCACTCATGTTGGGGTTCCTGTGGACATTATCATTTCATGAAATGGGGAAGAGGAGGGGCTTAAGAACACTTGCAGGGATGAAACCTTTCCTGCAGAAGAAGACAAATCATTTAATTGCTCTGGAAAAGGTGCAGAGCACCTTTCTGAGGTGTAAGGGTTGACCAAGACACCACCAGGCTACAGCATCTTCTGGACAGCTATGCAGAGACTTCCCTGCTGGAGTCCAGGGTGCGGGAGGGCTGATTTCACCGGCTCTGCATCCCGCCCGCAGGGAGGCCAGGCCGCCCTCCCCTGCCTCACCTCTACCCCCACCTGCTGATCAGGAGATGGAAGAAGCCACCTGCATAAGTTTTGTATCCAAAATGTCCTGCTTCCCCTGAGCTGATGTGCTTACAGTAAGCCAAATGCTGGGGCATTTCTCAGTGTCCCCTGACCTGCTCCTTTTCTGTGTGTTTTAAAATGCTCCCTCACACTTTGAATTGTTTCCCAGGCACAGGATAGACAAGTTTATTCTCATCCTGCTGCCATCACAGCCAATCTTCAGCTTGGTGAGACTGTAAGCTTGGTCTGTAGTCAGCACTTCTGTCACACAGTAACATTTGGAGGTGTGTTTCACCACCATGATTTCACAACACCGAAACTGTCCTGCACTGAGATACCCTCGCCACGGTTTTCTGTTCCAGGGAGTGCTCTCCATGCCATACATCTCTACATTCAGATACAGGCCACCATGGTGCAGGATGTGAGACCGTGGCAGGAGGGCATCCCTGATGAGCGGGAGGCATGAGCACACTCAGGCCTGTGACATTCCTGAAGCCAAGAGTAGGGGTGAGCTTGGTCTTACCCACTCCCCAACATGGCCGGAGACACCTCTGGCCCGGGGCCTGTCGAGCTTCCCTGGGTGGACAGGAGCAAGATTGCCACAGGATGAGGAAAAGAGGACCCTGGGCCAAGAAGGGAAGATCCAAACAATAATCTTTCATTCACCCAGTGAGATACCCATGGCATCCTATTCAGAATTTGGTACTGATCACACTCAGGGACATGATCCCCAAAGAGATGAAGTGCTGGTTGGATGGATCCCACTTACCACTTTTCAAGGAATCCCAAATGTTCATAAGCCACAGTACAAACACAAATCCTTACAGCTTCTAGTTTAATAGTATTACATCTATCAAATCATGATACCTTGAAGATTTTTACAGTGCCAGGTGAAGTGGTCACTGTTGCACGGCTGCTTACAAGGACGAGAGGAGCTGGGACAAGCTTCACCAAACGGTCTCTGCCTGTTGGCCCTAAACACAACGCAGAAATACTGCCAACTCCTAAAACAAGTCAGGGTTTGCATGTTACACGAGAGGCTCTGCTCCAAAGCCTTTCTTCCTCTGCAACACACTCTAGGTTTTTTTCAGCTGCTGACACCGCACAGCGGACTGCCTCATCATGTCCTTTCCCCAAAAGATGCTTTTCTGCTGCTCCTGTTGTGTAGCTGGTTTGATGTGTTCTAAACCAGAGAAACACGGAAAGGAGGCATTTCAGACAACACTACTCTTTATCTTCTCTGCTCCAGGAGAAGACCCCTTTCCAGGGATCATCGACATACATGGATACATTGGAGGTCTTTCTGAGCACAGAGCCAGCCTGCTGGCCAATCATGGGTTTGCCACACTGGCCCTGGCTTATTTCAGCTATGAGGATCTGCCCCGGGAGCCAACTGAACTCCACCTGGAGTATTTTGAAGAGGCGCTGAACTACATGCTGCAGCACCCACAGGTAGGAGCACCCTCCATGTCCCCCTGGGTGTCCCTGGGCTTGCTTCTTCTCCAAAGTGCCTGTCCCTTTGTCCGAGTTAGCTCTGGAGGAAGCTGCCGCACCCCGCTCTAGGGCGGGCAGCTGCCAGCAGCTTGGGTTCCTGGGCTCTAGGAAAGAGGAAGGGTCAACCAGATATTCACTGGAATGGCAGTGGAGGGACATCACAAAGCAATCTCACAAGAGACAGATGAGACATAACAAGGTGGGAAGGCTGTACAGCAGAAAGCCTTCATGAATTGCCACCAAATGTCCTCCTACAGCCTCAAAAGTGAAAAGTAAAAACAGCATCTGCCAGTGTCTAAGACTAACTCTTAGCTGTGTCCTACAACTTGTCCTCAAATTGGTGAAATCATGTTCCCCCTCTATTGGCTGGTGTCAGCACACCAGGGAATATTATCAAAGGCAGCCATTTCAATGGGAGGTGCTTGGCAGTTGTCCAGAAGAAAAACCAATCATTGCCATCAGTCACCTCCTTCTCAGTGTTCTGCAAACTCAGCACTGTACAGTGTCCCTCTCCAGTAAGGAGCTGTTGTGTTTATCAGCTCAGTACTGATGGGGATTTCTCCTGTCTACCAGGTGAAGGGACCAGGGGTTGGCCTGCTCGGTTACTCCAAAGGAGCTGATCTGTCCCTCGCCATGGCCGCCTTCCTGAAGAACATCACAGCCGTTGCCTCCCTCAATGGCCCTGTGGCCACTACAGTTATTCCTCTCTGTTACAAGGATAAAACCATCCCTTCTCTGCCCATCGATGAACAACTGGCCAAGGTCAATGATTCCAATATTCTTGATTGTTCTGACACCCTTAGTGACCCCTTTCAAGCCCCCGGCAACCAAAGCCTGATCCCACTAGAGAAAGCCGAGGCACAGTTACTATTCATTGTTGGACAAGACGACCACGTTGTCAAAAGTGAGTATTATGCTACTGAAGCCTGCAAGTACTTGCAGGCTCAAGGGAAGGACAATTTCCAGATTCTGTCTTACCCTGGAACTGGGCACTGCATTGACCCTCCCTTTTTCCCTTTGTATCCCATAGGAAAGCATCCAGTTTTTGACAAGTGGGCAGTGCTGGGTGGGGAGCTCAGGGCTTATTCTAAAGCTCAGGTTCACGTGTGGCCACAGATCCAGGCTTTTTTCAACAAATATTTAAATGACAACTAATGTGCAATAAAGACACTGCTTTAAATGACCTAACTTGACAGACATTTTCATCTTTGTGGGAAACCATATAATTTGAGACAGAACAGCACTGTCTCATGACCCTGAAAGATCAGCGCGTCCTGCGCCTCCGTTCTCTGTTCTCAGGAGATAAGCTGTTTTCACACATCCAGCTGCAAAAGATCCTGGAAAACAACAACAGTGAACTGGCATTCGCAAAGCCACGAATCCAAAGCTGATTGGCTCTAGTAACTATTGTATTAGTATATAAGGTATTCACTTGAGCAATAAAATGATTCTGATCGAGCACAAGATTGGGGTCCATGAAGTCATTCACCACGCATCTTTATCAGGTCAAACTCTGTTCGCAGGTGTACCAGGACAACTCCAGTATCTTCCATGACTTTGCCCATGCATAACTCAGAACTGGCTCTGCCTTTTCTGTTCTTCCCTGAGCCTTTTTGCTCGAGTGTCAAGAAAAGGAATGGCAAATAGATTTGCACTAACCCTTGATAAAATAGATCATGTGCAAAACGCGCAGTTACATTTCTCAGGCGGTTTCTGCTCTTCCAATACTTGACGGCACCTTGCCTCTCACTGTGGTCTCTACGTGCATACGCTACCCTCAGCTCATACTTTAAACCAACACCTCTCAAATGCCCACTTTGGAGCAGGGATTTCACCACTCCTATGGTGAATGTCTCATCACCAATGGAAATGTCTCTGATCTCTGTGCTGCTGGAAGCGGGTAAGAACAGATGCTACAGGCAGGATGCCAGGGTGTCTCCGGTTAACCCTCGGGAAGGGGGGCTTGCCCTCTGTGCCTTCTTTCTGTCCTCCCATCAGAAGGAAGTGCTCTGGCTCACAGATACTTCTGGCCCCAAGCTGCCATGCAAAAAGCCTTTCTGCTGAATTTACAGCCATTGTGATCTCCTCCCACACAATGTGGAACTTTTTCAGCTTTGTTATTGGGGCAAGAACTGTAATAAATAGGGACTGAGATTTGAAAGCCATGGAGTCATTTTCTGTGCTTTGGGTAGAAGCAGGGATCTTTGCATGTCCACTGCTCTCTCATCTCAGGATGGAACTTGCAGGAACTTGGGAGCAAGGGCTGCCCAGGTGGGGAGAGGAGACCAGAGAAGTCTTACACATAGCCCCCTTACCTTCACTCTTCCACTGCTCTTGGGGCGCCAAGTGTGGAGGAGAAGGAGTGCTGCTGAAGCCTCCAGGGGCCTATCCCTTAGCATCTGCTCCAGCATATGGTCAAGCTGGTGATCAAATCCAGCACTATAAGCCAAGGAGTGTTATTCTCAACAACAGAAGAAGTTGCCACACATTGAGGGCTGGGCACCAGACAACACACCCAAAAGCCAGATGACAAGGCACCGCCCCAGTTTAGGAGAGACAGGGCAATCTCCATGGGGAACAAGACACTCTGCCCAATACCTCCGACCACTTAGTTTTTCAAAACAGGACAATGCTGAGGATTCCCTCAGATGTTCCCACTTGTTTCACACCACTGTGTCAGACACGGGGAGCTCTGAGTGACAGGCACCTCCATATGCATCTCCCAGGAGGAGTCAGGGAGCCTGAGGGAGTCTCTCTCCCTTTGCAGCTCCCTTCGGAGCAAAAGATCCCGCTCTGGGTAAGACAGACGGAATGGCCTTCTTTTCAAACCCTTGCACAACCCGTAACTGTAAGAAGCAGGTGCTTCCTGACCTGCCCAAAGAGCCTGTGAAAGCCAGCGCCCCTCCCTGCTCCCTCCCGCACCCCTGAGCACCCTGACCATCCCTCCCAACCCATATGGCTGGGCAGAGCCTGCTGGAGACGCAACCTGCCTGGCCTGGGCCTTGGGGCAGCCGACGTGGGGGGAGAGGCGCCCCGGAGGCGCGGGGCCC